CCAAATGTTGAAACTATCAAATGCAATTTAAAACAACTATGATTAATATGTTAAAGGCTCAAATGAAAAAGGCGGACAACATGTACCAACAAATGAGGAATATCAGCAGAGAGTTGGAAACAATAAGAAATAATCAAGTGGAAATGCTAGCAATGAGAAGCATAGTACCAGAGAGGAAGAATACCTTTAATGGTTCACCAGTCAGTAGACTAAACACAGTTGAGGAAAGAACCAGTGAATGTGAAGGTAAATCACTTAGAAATTACCCAAATTGAACCACAAAAATAAAATACTGTGTGTGTTCGGGGAGGGACCCCAGAGCATCCAAGAGCTGGAGGCAATTTCAAATGATCTAATACATGAAAGTACAATCCCACAAGGAAAAGAGAGAGGTGGGGGTGAATAGAGGGAATGGGACAGAAAAAATACTTGAAGACTTTGTGGCTAACTTCTCAAAAATATAATTTAAGACATTGAACTATAACTTCAAGAATTTCAGAGAACACTTGATAGGATAAGCACCCTCTACTCTCCAAAAAAAAGCCAGACACTTATACACACTGAGATACATAATAGTCAGTCTGCAGAAAACCAAAGATAAGTAGAAAGTGTTCAAAACAGCTAGAGGAAAAAAGATACATGAGATACAGAAGAACAAAGGTAAGAATTATAGTAGATTCTCAGAAATTATACAAGGCAGAACGCAATGAACTGATATTTTTTAAGTGCTGAATGAATGCAGTGGAATAAAAATACCTTTCAAAAATAAAGAAGAAATAGACTTTGAGACAAAACTGAGAGAATTCATTACCAGCTTAACTGCACTACACCTTGGAACTATACAAAGCATTGGAGAGTGCTGGAAATGAAACAAATGAAGGTAAATATAAAATAAATTGTTTTTTTAAAAAATTGCTCTAAAAGATAATGGTCTAAGTAAATAAAAAAAAAACCATGTATTATAAATTTATCACATGCCTAAAAATAAAATATATGACAGTAGCAGAAAGGATGGGAAGAAGAAATTGGAATACTGCTGTAAGGTTCTTACACACCGTATGGTATGTATAATATCATTTGAAGGTAGCTGTGAATAAAGATAAATATTGTAAACCTGAAGGCAATTACTGAAAAAAGATACAAAGAGGTATAAACAGTAAGGCGATAGTACATTTAAGATGGAATCATAAAATAACCCAAGAAAGAAAAAGAACAAAGAACAGATAGAAAAATAGAGAACTGAGAAGATCATAGATTTTAATTTAAATCGTATCAGTAATTACCTGAAAGTATTACAATTTAAATGGTATAAGTATAAACACACAAAGTAAAGAATGATTATCATATTGATAAAAAGGCAAAATTAAAGCGTATGTGTCTACAAGAAAGCCACTTTAAATATGACAGAAAGATTAAAATTGAAAGAGTGGGAGAAGATATATAATGAAAACACTCATGAAGAGAAAGCTGGAGTAGCTATGTTAAAATTAGGTGAAGTAGGTTTCCAAACAAGGAATATTACTGGTGATAAAAATGGACATTACCTAAGGATAAAGAGATCAATTCACCAAGAAGGCGTAACATACAAAGGTTTGTGAGTGCAGCTAAAGACAAAACCTTTAAATGTATGAGACAAAGCACTGAAAATTCAAGGGAGAAATGGACAACTCCACAATTACAGTTGACTATTTCAACAGTGCTCTCAGTAATTGGCAGGGCAAGCAGACACACACAATTAGTTAAGTACATAGACCTGAACAACATGGTCGTTGTCAAATAACTTGGCCTAATATTATGGATCACTCCATCCAACAACAGCTGAATATACATTCTTTTCAACTGCACGTGGGACATTCACCAGGATGGACCACATTCTGGGTCAGAAAAAAAATTTTAAGAAATTTAAATCACACAAAGAATATTTTCTATCCATAATGGAATTGAATTAGAAATCAATAACAGAAAAAAAAATCTGGAAGGTCATCATATATTTAGAAATTAACACACTTCACAGCATATGGATAAAAGAAATGAAAAAACATTTTGAATTGAATGAAAATAAAAAATACATCAGAATTCACAGGTTGTAACTAAGACGGATTAGAGAGAAAACTAACATTAACTGCTTATAGTAGAAAAGGAAAATCGGATTAGAGAATAATCTATAGTATTAAATGCTTATAGTAGAAAAGAAGAAAGGCTTCAAGTCATGATCCAAGTTTCTACCTTAATAGCTGAAGAAGAGCAAATTAAACCCGAAATAAGCAGAAGGAAGAATTAACAAAGATGAAAGCAGAAATCAGGGAATTCATTATTGTCCTAGAGGTCCTAGCTGTGAAGTAAGGCACAAGAAAGAAAGGGCATATGGGCTAAAGGAAGAAAGGAAAATGTGTGTATTCATAGTATGATTTTTTTATATAGAAAATAATTGTTTATCAAAAAGTGGGAGAATGGGTCTGTGTTTAAAACGCTAACATCATAAAAGACAAAGAATTTTGGAAATATTCCATGTTAAAGGATACCAAAGTGAGAAATTAAGTAAATTTAATACCTGCTTCTAAATTAGATCCTGTTGGAAAATGCTATAAAGGAAGTGACAACTGATAAAATTAAAATATGGATAGAAGATTAAACAAAATACTTTATCAATGTATATATTAAGTTATGAAGGTGATAACACTGCTATTATTATGTTAGATAATTGTTAGTCATAGGAAATACTGAAATATTTGGGGATTAAGTACCGGATATATATAACTTAGCGTCAAGTGGTTCAGGAAAAAAATTATGTTCAGAATACAAGTACAGATGATAAAGTAAATGGTAAAATGTCATAGGCAGATCTCAGTGTTTCCTATTTTTTTTGTTACTTTTTATAAATTTGAAATTATTTATTAAAAACCATTTGTAAAAGTTTCCTAAAAGTGGCAAAAGAAGGCCATCATACTTGAAGTTGGAAATTGCTTTTCTTACAGTAAGCAGCCTTGAGGGAAGAGGTAATATCTGCCTCCAGAACAAAGAGTAGTTGGCTTACTGCTTGCTGTAGAACATTCATTTGCCCAAGCTTGATGTTGCGCTCCTGTAATGTAGCTCACTGGGTGTGCAACCATCCATCTGGGCCCTCTCTGTTGCCCTCATGTGAGTTCACAGACATACTGATGACCATACTCCATGCTGTGCTATGCATAAAGTCCTTTTCCTCCAATCCAGGAGTCTCATGTCTTTTCCCACCATCCATGAAAAAGTGACAGGCTAAGTTTAGATTAAAAGGGTAAAATAAAATCCTGGACCTGGTAGTCTCGTCCTCTGAACATGTCCTCATTTTTCCTATTTCTGTTCTTTTTCTCACACTGAATTCTTTGTGAGGAATACCTTTCCCATTTTGCTGCCTAAATTACACATTCTGTATACCTTCAGTTCTAGTTATGGTGTAGTAATTTCTCCTTCCCCAGATTCTTTCTTAAAAGGTTTCTGTTTTCTCCACTGCTCGTTAGTCATCTCTCCCTCCCTCTCTTCTGTACTCCATTTCTTTCTCCTCTTCATCCATATTCCTCTTCCTCATTTTTCCCTTCTCTCTCTTTCTCTTATTTAAATGTTATCAGATTGAATATGATAAACTCATTAGACTGTGTTTGCGGAGAGCAGACACTTTGTCATATATGCATCTTCCCATTTGGAGCCAAGTGTAGGATTGAATTATGTGTTTCTGATTGACTGATTCTAATTATGAGGAGCTGAAGTGTTCATAAACATTTTTTTTTAAGTCTTACCACTATCATAGCTTTAGTTTTGGTTAGTGCATTGTTTACATAGTTCTAAAATACTAAGAATCATAGAATTTTAAGGGTTGAAAGAGTCTTAGAAATCATTCAGGGAAAAATCTCTTAATTTTTCTAAAAAGAATAGGTCATGGTTAGTGAGATCCATTATCACTAAGAAAGGGCTTAAATCACTATTTTTAGAGGTTCTCAATTTGGTTATAAGTGATTATAATTTTTTATACTGCTTTAAGTTAATTTTTCTGTGTCATATTGTCATTTATTGGAGGTGACAATCACAAAATTGGGTTACAGTTAATAAGTTATTTATTGTAAGCATATGCATTTTGTGGTAAATTGTTGGGCCAGATTCAACTTTTGTGGTATAATAGTGTTTGAAAGGGTGACTCACAATATCTCAATTTTAAGAGGATTATTCCTCTCTCCATTAGAATCTGGTCTAATAAATCAGCATTAAAATCTTTCTCTTGCCCACTTAATCTGTACATCATAGTGATTAAGATAATTGGATTCTAGAACCAGATTTCCCATGTTTGAACCTTCGCTCGCCACTTGCTGGCAGTTTGACCTTGGTTGTGTTACTTAACCCCTCTGTGCTCTGATTACTCATTTGTAAAATGGGAATAATTCCAATACTTACCTCATGGGTTACTGAGAGATTAAATGAATTGATACATATAAAGTGCTTAAATGAGTGCCTGGCACAAAATAAGTGATACATATTTTAACTTCAGCTTAACTAAGAGGATAGTTTATGCAGGTCATCAGCTTCAAAGAAGTTTAAGGGTTTTTTATCCCCCTTTGAGCTTATTCCCTCCAACGAATTCTTTTTAACAGTGCCTATCACCACAGTTTTCTTCTACACATTATTCTTTGTGTGTTTTGTATGTGTAACATGTTTTGTGTGTACCTTTTTTTTAAAAAACAATTTGATGTAGTAATTCCATTTCAGTGGCTTTTAAATAATCAATACCATGAGTATGTGCTATAGAAATGAGGATATGTAAATATTTTAGATGTATACTTACAGAACCTGATACCTTGGTTATATATTTCCACTTTACCCACTTTTAACCAATATTCATATATGATTCTTTTCTAGATGATTGATTAAAAATACTAAACCATATAAATACAAGTATGACCATCCGTTGCTTTTAAGAATAAATGATCACTCAGTAACGTGGTCTAAGTAAAGTGTTCTCTTTTTTAATTATGTAGTCCTCCTCGCCATCCTCATCACAGCCTCATTCTAGCCACTGCAGAACGAAGGCCTCATCATTGTGTCACCATGCATCCCTGCCCTGGGTCAAACGTAACCATGTAGGCCCTGCAAAGGCTACCAGTCCATCTCTCCGTCTTCGTCGCTGGCGACCCTTCTTACGCCTACCATCTTTGGGTCTCCATTCTGTTGTAAGTGTAGTCAATCTCCCATCTCTTCTTCCAGTGACAAGGGCAGTCTATTTTTGTTTCCTTAAACTTCTTCAGTCTTCAAAGTGCTTTTCTCTTGGTTCACTCAACCATTAGCTTTTTCTCCCCCAATAAGACTGCAAACATATCTCTCTGCTTTGCAGTCTGGCTTGACTTTCACCAGTGCTTGGTGAACATCCATCTCTCCCCTCCATATCCTGCCAACATAAGGGTGCTTATTGACATTCATGGTGATGTTTATGTTCGTGTCAGTTGTTAAAGTGAATATGTATTCTCTTACCCTTCATCATTCTGATTTCATTTAGTTGACTCTAGTCAACAAATGCTGTGTGCCTTCTGAGTTCTTTGCCATCTTTTACTTTATTTTTTTCATGTTTCTGAACATGACTTTAGTCTCTTGTCATGCCCTGGGGTCACTTTACTTACTCTATCCTTAATCTGATCCTTTGTGGTGTAGGGTGTTTCATCTGAACTATTTTATTCCCTGAGGTGGCTCAGGTACTTGGTTTAATCTTGATCCAATCTTCCCTGCCTATTCAGTTTCTCCAGATCTTTTCCAAGTAGGAGGTGAAGATTTTCTCCTTGTGAATGTAGGGTTCCCACAAATTTTATGATTTCTCCTTCTTAGATTGATAATATTAGCAAACTATTAAAAAAGTACATTTGTTCTTATAATCTTGCTAATTATCTTAAAATTTGAGGTTGATGATGCAATTCTAATAATACTTATAATGGAAATAAACTGCAGGATTAGGCAAATTCAACTCTTTTCTTTTTGATGTTTTAGCCTATTAATGTCAATGCCTGTGGTTTAGCAGAGCCTACCTAGAAATGCTGAAAGTATCTGAAAGATGTGGTGTTTGGCATACATTTATAAGAAACTTGACACTTCTATAAATCATCATGACTTTTCAAGCCAGAGAAAGTCTGATTACACATACACTTAGTGTTTAAAAAAATTAAAAGTTGGTGTGAAACATCCTTCCTTCCCCGTATTTATTCTTCTAGGGCTATACTCAAACTATGAAGTGGAGTCTTGGCACTTTTCCTTAAACATCTGTTTCTGCCAAGTGTCATTATGGTCATCAGAATAGCCTTTCCATTTGTGTTGAGTATCAGCAAACTGGTGTGTCTATTTCATTATCCTCATTGGGTCACAACACACATTTGTCATTTTGATTCATTTATCCATTTAATATTTGTTGCTTCCCTACTGTGCCATACACTGTTTGCCACAGTAGGAGATACAAAGTGAATTAGATGATCAGACTCACCCTAATTTTGCAAATTCTGATGAGCACAATTGATTCTGAATTTTAATACATTCCTTTGTACTTAAAAATGCTATAAACAGAAGTGAACATGTCATAAAAATTGGCATTTCTAGTTTTATGTTTTTATATAATGTCGATCTTTGCTCCATAGTAATTCCATTGCTGTTGTGTACCTTTGTAAATATTTTTCAAAGCATAGTGGTTAATAATATTCTAGAGCCACACTGCCTAGGTGTGAAAGTAGATTCTATTACTTACTAGCTGTGTGACCTAGAGTTACTTAATGTTACTTAATGTCCTGTGCTTTAGTTTTCTTGAGAGTGAAATGAGTATAACTATACTTGCTACCTACCTCATCTGATTTTTATGATGCTTAATTGGTCAATACTTTTTTAAAGCAGTTAGAAGAGTGCCTGTTATATATTAAGAGCCATACAATTATAGATTACATTTAAGCTTATTTTTTATGATTTGAAATTTATATTTAGTATTTAATTAATTTCTATCTAATCAATTTGTTATATCACCTTAATTTTTTGAGATAATAAGTGCTGTATTATAAATTAGGGAACTTTTTAAGAAATAGTATGTAAAAAGGTAGGCAAAAATGATCCAATCTATATCTTCTGATTTTTGCCTTTTTAATGGAATAATGTTTAAGCAGTTGAATAATTGCAGATTTCAGACTGTCAGACTAATTGACCAATGGAAACACTCCTAATAGGTCCTAAGGTTTTGTGGGAGACTTGGAAGTTTAGAGCTTACTTATCTTTTTATAGTAGTATGAAGGCTTTTCATACCCTCTTTAGAGTTTTGTATTTTTAATATGCACTTTTGGATAAAAGGTATAATGACTCATAATTTTGAGTCACTAGATTTAGTGATTTCTTACATTTGTGATAATGCAGTATTAATCTTGTAATAATACGTAATGTTTATATAGCACCTAACAGTTTACAATGTACTTTCATGCACTTCATTTAAACTTCAAAGTGGATGAGAAACTCAGTGCTCCCAGGGGTTGGGTGCATTTTCAGGTCTCCGACTCCAATTGAACTATTTTTGGTTCTAGTATGGTTGCATTTACTGACAAAATATGAATAATAGAAGCTACAAGATGTATTATTCTTAAGAGAATATTAAAATAATTTTGAAAGCCTTGTAGCTCAAAAGATTTAAAATACTTAATATCTTGGAGAATTGTCTTAAAATGAGTAAAACAAGACTTTCTTAACTTGATAAAGAAATCTTTCCATTAGTTTGTTATGAAATTGAATTGGTAGTTTGTAGAATTGCCTAGGTTTAGGCCTGAAAAGTTGGATTCTCTTCAGGTCATTAGTAGAATGAGGGTATTAGATTGAGTAGTCACTAATATTTTTTGATTCTTTGACCAGCAAAGAAAGAAAACTCATTATCACTGTCTTTCAGCATTTGAGAAGTATCATGTTCAAGAAGGATTAGACTTTCTCAGATGGTGGAAAAATACTGGGAGACATATTTTAGCCTCAGAAGGAGAGAGAACTATAAACAAAACTTCCAAAGGTGAAATGGACTGCCTCAAAACCTAGGGGCCGTTTCCTGTTCTTGGAGGGGTCACCACAGGATGGGGCTGTTGTAGACAAAAGTCTACTATTGGAGTAATAGTGAACTGGATAACTTTGCCAAGAATAAGAATAGCAACTGTAGAATTCTTTAGTTCTAAATCGAAGTTAGGAAGAGCTAGTTTGCCATCTCAGTTTATGATGAGGTTCTCTTCTCTCTTTTGTAATTGGAAGGAAATAATTTCTGAAGTATAATGTGAGATTAGATGAGTCACTCTATTTAGAAGCATTCACTAAATCCAAGATAGTAATGTTTATTCTATTATCTTTCAATTTCTGCATCTGAAAACTTCATACTACAACTACTTGAGGTATAATTAACATGAGGGTGAAAATGTGTAAATTTTAGAAGAGATTATCATGTTACAGGATGTTAAATGATGTGAGACATAATTTGATTATGCCTCTTTAAAATTTTATCTTTAAAATTTGTCCTTGCATTTAACAGTGATTGTATTTCATACCAAACCATTTCAATTTGATGTATAGTTCCCCATATTAGTGTTGCCCCTGTAGGTACAGATCATAGTGCCAGTTAATCATGTATTGACTTTGCATAAGTTATTCAATGTCTAAGAAATGCAGCAGATATTGCTCATGAAAATGGAATTTGTTAAGCTATAAAAACCTAGGTGTGGTTTCAAGGAGTTCACTAAGAAAGCAAGATAAAAATCATAGGCTATAGTTACTTGTAGTTTATTTTACTCTTCTCCTCCTCTCCCGCCATTACTCTTTTGGGCTACCTTCCTTCATTTGTTCATTTTTAACTTTTTTGAATCTAGGGTGAATAATGATACTAATTTAATTCTAAGACTGTTTATATTGCATTGTTCAAAAAAGATTATCAAGTTTATCCCATTAAGAGAAGTCACTTTCTGGACTTAGAGTTTCTTTAACCCTGATTATACTATTAAATTTTTTAAAACTTTCTTATTTCAGATTTCAAAAATTAGAGAAATCAGTTCATGCATTCATTCCATTCAACAAGTATACATTTGACTCTACTATGTACTAGGCACTGGGGGGTCCCAAGGGGAGCAAGACAAGGTTTTTAGATTGGTTGAGGATTAAGAAAGATGTGCTTTTAGTCCATGTTTTACTTGTGGATGGGTGAGCACATTGTCCTAAATGTAGTCATGTTCATCTTTGTCCACCATATCAAAGATTGTGTCTTGCATTATATTGGATAAATGTTCTCTCATGTCATTTCATATTATTTGTTTCTGTTTATATGTACTGCATTGCTTTGTTTGATTACTAACATACAATATATATTTTTCCCTCCTATTCCAGGCACCAAGTATAGATGAAAAAGTAGATCTTCATTTTATTGCATTAGTTCATGTAGATGGGCATCTCTATGAATTAGGTAAGAACTGTTTTACTTTATTCTGGGTCAGGGTAATAGTAAATGGGAAGGTCTCTGTTTATGATTAACAGGATGCCAATGTTTATTCATATTTGCCTAATTTAATCAGTTGCCCTATAACATTGAGTTGGCAATAATGAAAGTTTTCCATAATAGAAAAAACAAGTTTTGTTTGATGTTCAAGCAATTTATAATTCAAGAATCTTTGCATACCACCTTTGCATTTTAAGGAAAGCAGGAAAGTGAAAATCATAGGAAACTCCTGTAAATCACTTCAGTCGTCTTTACTAAATTATTAACATCTAGATGAACCATGTTGACCCTGATACTATCTCAGGATAAGAAATATCTCAGGATAAGAAAAAAGTAAGAAAATAGTTTCATAGAAATGTATACCTCTGAGTATTGTCTACAATAGTATGTGATTTGACTTGGAAGCAAACTAAAATGGATAGAAGTCCTTTTTATAGGAGTTTGTAAAAGACTTGCAGAGCAGCTGGGAAGATAAGCTTTGCTATCCATGTTGTCCAACCATGTTGTCACAAATGACAAGCTTTCATTCTAATGGCTGAGTAATAGTCCATTGTATATATTCACCACATCTTAAAGGAAGCAGAGTTCTGAAAGGACTCAGATTGTGACTATAAATGTGGTCCATAAAATTGAGGTGTATTTTATGTTTGGAATATGGCAACATAATTGTATACTTTATTAAAAGGAAATATCTCAGGATAAGAAAAAATAAGAAAATAGTTTCATAGAAATGTGTACCTCTGAGTATTGTCTACAATAGTATGTGATTTGACTTGGAAGCAAACTAAAATGGATAGAAGTCCTTTTTATAGGAGTTTGTAAAAGACTTGCAGAGCAGCTGGGAAGATAAGCTTTGCTAACTGAGTCCACAAAATCTATGGAGAGATAGTGATTGGGGACTTCAGAAGCCTGATAGCTTGCTGACAGCTGAATTTCTGATCTGAATTGTGAGCAGTGGAGAATAACTCCACTGGTGAAAGTAGTGGAGGTGAAAGTAAAGAGAGTGTCACAACCTCCCAGATGCATTCTGTTAGCTTCAAGAGGAAAGGCCAGATTTAGGAAAGGCCAGAGAAGTTATAGCTACTATTCATATCCGGAGACTGTAAAAGTGTAATGACTTTCAGAATGATAGACTTATTTCTACAACAAACAATAGCATCTAAAATATATTTAGGAAAAAAATATCTGATCATCTCAAGGGGAAGGCAAGAATTGACTAAAAAACTCAATTTGACTGCTAAGCTCACTTTCTGAGCTCAGAGGCTAAAAAGGCAGTTAGAAGAAAGACACAGATCAAGGGTAAGCTATGAAGGAAGAGTAGTTCTCTTTTTTACATGCCAAGATCAACACTACAGGACTTTAAAATTGATTTAATTAAGAACATCAGAAAAGAAAAGCATAACTACTGAGGTCTTACTGGGTTTAGGTATTCTTTAGCAAGAAGAATGATCAATATGGCTGACAGAAAATTAGAGCCTTTTATGGGATTACATTCTTTCTATTTTCTATTTTTTATTTTTTTATTTTTATATCGTTAATGTACAGTTACTTGAATAGCATTATGGTTACTAGACTTGCCCTATTATCAAGTCCCCCCTTCATACCCCATTACAGTCACTGTCCATAAACATAGTAAGATGCTATAGAGTCATTACTTGTCTTCTCTGTGTATACTGCCTTTCCCATGTCACCCCACCCCCTGCTACATTATGTGTGCTAATTGTAATGCCCCGTTATTCCCCTTAGCCCTCCCTTCTCATCCATCCTCCCCAGGAACTTTCCCTTTGGTAACAGTTAGTCCATTCTTGGGTTCTGTGGGTCTTCTGTTTTGTTCCTTCAGTTTTTGCTTTGTTCTTATACTCCACAGATGAGTGAAATCATTTGGTACTTGTCTTTCTCCGCCTGGCTTATTTCACTGAGCATAATACCCTCTAGCTCCATCCATGTTGTTGCAAATGATAGGATTTGTTTTCTTCTTCTGGCTGAATAATATTCCATTGTGTATATGTACCACATCTTCTTCATCCATTCATCTACTGATGGACACTTAGGTTGCTTCCATTTCTTGGCTATGGTAAATAGTGCTGCGATAAACGTAGGGGTGCATCTGTCTTTTTCAAACTGGGCTGCTACATTCTTAGGGTAAATTCCTAGGAGTGGAATTCCTGGGTCAAATGGTATTTCTATTTTGAGCTTTTTGAGGAACCTCCATACTGCTTTCCACAATGGTTGAACTAATTTACATTCTCACCAGCAGTGTAGGAGGATTCCCCTTTCTCTACATCCTCACCCATATTTGTTGTTGTTTGTCTTCTGGATGGTGGCGAACCTTACTGGTGTGAGGTGATATCTCATTGTGGTTTTAATTTGCAGTTCCTGGGATGATTAGTGATGTGGAGCATCTTTTCATGTGCCTGTTGGCCATCTGAATTTCTTCTTTGGAGAAGAGTCTGTTCAGCTTCTCTGCCCATTTTTTAATTGAATTATTTGCTTTTTGTTTGTTGAGGTGTGTGAGCTCTTTATATAATTTGGATGTCGACCCCTTATCAGATATGTCATTTACGAATATGTTCTCCCATACTGTAGGATGTCTTTTTTGTTCTACTGATGGTATCCTTTGCTGTACATAAGGTCTTTAGTTTGATATAGTGCCACTTGTTCATTTTTGCTTTTGTTTCCCTTGCCTGGGGAGATATGTTCATAAAGAAGTTGCTCATGTTTATGTCCAAAAGCTTTTTGCCTATATATTTTTTTAAGAGTTTTATTGTTTCATGACTTACATTCAGGTCTTTGATCCATTTTGAGTTTACTTTTGTGTATGGAGTTAGACAATAATCCAGTTTCATTTTCTTACATGTAGCTATCCAGTTTTGCTAACACCAGCTGTTGAAGAGGCTGTCATTTCCCCATTGTATATCCATGGCTCCTTTATTGTATATTAATTGACCATATGTGCTTGGGTTTATATTTGGACTCTCTATTCTGTTCCACTGGTCTATGGGTCTGTTCTTGTGCCGGTACCAAATTGTCTTGATTACTGTGGCTTTATAGTAGAGGTTGAAGTCAGGGAGTGTAATCCCCCCTGCTTTATTCTTCCTTCTCAGGATTGCTTTGGTTATTCGGGTTCTTTTTTCATTCCATATGAATGTTAGAACTATTTCCTCTAGTTCATTGAAGAATGCTCTAGGTATTTTGGTAGGGATTGCATTTAATCTGTAGATTGCTTTAGGCAGGTTGGCCATTTTGACAATATTAATTCTTCCAAGCCAAGAGCATGGGATGAAATTCCATTTATTTGTGTCCTCTTCAATTTTTCTTAAGAGTGTCCCATGGTTTTCAGGGTATAGGTCTTTCACTTCCTTGATTAGGTTTATTCGTAGGTATTTTATTCTTTTTGATGCAATTGTGAATGGAATTGTTTTCCTGATTTCTTTTCTGCTACTTCATCGTTAGTATATAAGAATGCAACAGATTTTTGTGTATTAATTTTGTATCCCGCAACTTTGCTGAATTCAGATATTAGTTCTAGGAGTTTTGGAGTGGATTCTTTAGGGATTTTTATGTACAGTATCGTGTCATCTGCAAACAGGGATAGTTTCCTTTCCAATCTGGATGCCTTTTATTTCTTTGTTTTGTCTGTTTGCCATGGTTAGGACCTCCAGAACTATGTTGAATAAGAGTGGGGAGAGTGGGCATCCTTGTCTTATTCCCAATCTCAAAGGGAAAGCTTTCAACTTCCTGCTGTTAAGTATAATGTTGGCTGTGGGTTTGTTATATATGGCCTTTATTATGTTGAGGTACTTGCCCTCTATACCCATTTTGTTGAGAGTTTTTATCATGAATGAATGTTGAATTTTGTCCAATGCTTTTTCAGTGTCTATGAAGATGATCACGTGGTTTTTGTCCTTTTTGTTGATGTAGTGGGTGATGTTGATGAATTTTCGAATGTTGTACCATCCTTGCATCCCTGGGATGAATTCTACCTGATCATAATGGATGATCTTTTTGATGTATTTTTGAATTTGTTTTGCTAATATTTTGTTGAGTATTTTTGCTTCTATGTTCATCAGGGATATTGGTCTGCAATTTTCTTTTTTTTGTGGTGTCTTTGCCTGTGTTTGTTATTAGAGTGATGTTGGCCTTGTAGAATGAGTTTGGGAGTATTCCCTCCTCTTCTACTTTTTGGAAAACTTTAAGGAGGATGGGTATTAGGTCTTCACTAAATGTTTGATAAAATTCAGCAGTGAAATCATCTGGTACAGTGCTTTTGTTCTTAGGTAGTTTTTTGATTACCTATTCAATTTCTTCACTAGTAATTGGCCTATTAAGATTTTCTGTTTCTTCTGGGTCAGCCTTGGAAGGTTGTATTTTTCTAGAAAGTTTTCCATTTCTTCTAGGTTATCCAGTTTGTTAGCATATAGATTTTCATAGTATTCTCTAATAATTCTTTGTATTTCTACGGTGTCTGTAGTGATTTATCCTTTCTCATTTCTGATTCTGTTTATGTGTGTAGATTCTCTTTTTTTTTTTCTTGATAAGTTTGGTTAGAGGTTTATCTATTTTGTTTATTTTCTCTAAGAACCAGCTCCTGCTTTCATTGATTCTTTCTATTGTTTTATTCTTCTGAATTTTATTTATTTATGCTTCAATCTTTATTATGTCCCTCCTTGTACAGACTTTGGGCCTCATTTTGTTCTTCCTTTTCTAGTTTCATTAATTGTGAGTTTAGACTGTTCATTTGGGATTGTTGTTCTTTCCTGGGGTAGCCCTGTATTGCAATATATTTCCCTCTTCGCACAGCCTTTGCTGTGTCCCACAGATTTTGTGTGGTTGAATTATTGTTGTCATGTATCTACATATATTGCTTGGTTTCTGTTTTTATTTGGTTATTGATCCATTGATTATTTAGGAGCATGTTATTAAGCCTCCATGTGTTTGTGGGCTTTTTCATTTTCTTTATGTAATTTATTTCTCATTTCATACCTTTGTGATCTGAGAAGCTGCTTGGTACAATTTCAATCTTTTTGAATTTACTGAGGTTCTTTTTGTGGCCTAGTATATGATCTATTCTTGAAAATGTTCCATGTACACTTGAGAAGAATGTGTATCCTCTTGCTTTTGGATGAAATGTTCTGTAGATGTCCGTTAGGTCCATCTGTTCTAATACGTTGTTCAGTGCCTCTGTCTCTTTATTACGTATATTCTGCCTGGTTGATCTGTCCTTTGGAGTGAGTGGTGTGCTGAAGACTCCTAAAATGACTGTATTGCATTCTATTTCCCCCTTTAATTCTGTTAGTATTTGTTTCACATATGTAGGTGATTCTGTGTTGGGTGCATAGATATTTATAATAATATCTATTATGAGGGAGATAATAATCCCCTTGTTGGACTGACCCCTTTATCATTATGTAATGTCCTTCTTTGTCTCTTGTTACTTTCTTTGTTTTGAAGTCTATTTTGTCTCATACAAGTACTGCAACTCCTGCTTTTTTCTCCCTGTTAGTTGTATGAAATATCTTTTTCCATCCCTTTACTTTCAGTCTTTGGGTTTGAAGTGAGTCTCTTGTAGGCAGCATACAGATGGATCTTGTTTTTTTATCCATTCATTGACTCTTGGGATTATATTCTTTAAATGAATTTTTAAATTTCAGAGTTCTAAAGAATAGCCATAATCTTTGAGATGTCATAGAAAACAGGAGTAAGAACAAAACAAATGAAGATGGGCAGTTGTTGATTCACTGCAAGGGAAATTGGCAGCAACACTGACGTGGATTCCTTATAAATTTGAAAGGAATGTTGAGTGAGAAGAGTATTGAGTTAGTGATAACATTGATTAAGAAAACAGGATACAGTTTTTAAGAAGAAGAAAAATCAAAGTAGCCTTATTTTCAAAAATAAGGCTATGTGACTATAGACATGGTACAAGCTAATTTGTACAGGACAATTAACAAAGGCCATAGTACTGTTTAATAGTATTCATTGTGTATTAAACTGTGAAGTTAACTAATGAAAAGGATTGAGTTATTCGTCTATTTGTTATCACTCCTTCCTTTCTTTCAGAGCTTCATATAGTTCCTGGCATATGTAGAAGGGGAGAAGTACATATTTTTAAGCAGATGTAATACTATTTATGGATAAATTAGAGCAATGAGGTTGGGAGGTGAATTCAGAACTGATTAAACCACCAGATTAGAAATTGTTATCTAACAATTTATTGTCTACCTGAAGACAGAGGAATACGCTGAAACATTTTTTTAAATTTTGAAATAATTTAAAACTCTTGTAATAATTTCAGACATTATATACAGAGTTCCCTTAACCCTTTACTCAATTTCCCAGATACAGTTAAAGTCTCTAAACCATTTGAAAACAAGTTGTAGATATGATGCCCCTTTATCTTTTAATGCTTCTGTATGTATTTCCTCAAAACAAGTGACTACTCTCCTATGTAACTACAAAAATCAGGAAATTAACATTGATTCAATATTAGCATTGAATCCACAGGTCTTTTCAGATTTTGCTGGTTTTCACATTAATGTCCTCTATAGGTTCAGGATCCAATCCAAGATCATGTGTTACATTAAATTGTAATGTTCCTTAGTCTCTTAATCTGCAATGGTTCCTCAAATCTATTTTTGACTCTTATGTCTTTGATGTTAATTCGTAAGAATAAAGTATAGTTTCTTTGAGATTATTCTTCAGTTTGGGTTGTCTGATATTCATGATTTAAACATTTTTGGCACGTACACCACAGAACTAATGCTCTGTCCTTTTTCATGCATCATTTCAGAAGGCATAGGATGTTGATTTGTCCCATTACCAGTTATGCTTTTAGCACTTAATTTAGAAGGTATCTGCTTTGTTTCTCCAATATAAAATTAATATATAATATAATATTACATACTCATTATTAGTAATGAATAAATATTTTATGCGGAGATACTTTAAGACTATACAGTTCCTCGGTAAGTCTTTTTCTATGAATTTAGCATCTATTGATGATTCTTGACTGAGTTATCACCATGATGATTGCCAAATGATTTTTTTAAGAACTCCTCCAACACTAGATGCTTTATTTCTTCCCACATTCCTTAAATCATTCATTCATATCAGAATGGATTCATCAATTCATATTTTACTCAAAAGATTACAATCTATTATTACATATTTTGATACTCAAATTGTCCCAGACTTGGCCTTGAAGGAACCCTTTCCAGGTTGGCCCTTTTCTCCTTTTGATATGTCCCTGTCATTCTTTGAACACTTACTAACTCAGCAGTGGAACAAGATGTTCTAGGCTCATCTTTTATTTTCTGTGCCCCAGCCCTACATTCACCCACTTCTCCATAGAACTCTGGTTCCTTTCAGTGGAAAATGTGCTAGGTATACTCATTGCTACTGAGATATCATTGCTTCTCTCAGGGAAAGAGCTAGGAAATATGTTATATAAATATACTCACACATACATGTGAATATGAATATACATGCACACAGTTTCTTATCTATATATTAGAAAAATTCATTGATATCAATACTTCCAATTGTAATCTAATGCTATACAGCTTATTCTAGTGTTCTCCATTATCCTTCATATATTTTCTAACTTAACTATTCCCCTTGTATATAAACAAGCTCTTGGTCTCCTTGACCTAAACTCAGTCCCAGACACACTGCTGCCACCTGGCACACTGATTGTGACCCAGCCCAGATAGAACGCAGTAGCTCTCCAAAGTGTGTAGGCACCGTCTTTCTGTTACTGTGTAAATTCCAGGAGGCTCATTTTCCTTGAACTTTGCTCTCTTTCTCAGTCTTCTCATTGAGACTTCTCTGCTCTGCTTAGGTTCCCCGTTCCTGCACTGGCAGAAAGCTGGTATTACTGTCAGGCTCACCTGTGGATGACCTGTTTCCCTGTGTCTAAAGACAACTGTTTCAGATATTTTGTCCTGGTTTTAAGATTGTTTCCAGTGGGAGGCCTAGTCCACAACCAGTTGTTTCTACCTGGTTCCAGGTAGAAGTGGCCTAAGTATTTATTATTTTTGGACTTCCCCCAATGACAATAAGGATTTAGCTTTCCTTTGTCACCATTTTTCCTTACTCCTCCCTTTTTCCTGTTTTCCCAGTATCTTTTTAGTTGTTTATATTATTATGACCCTTCTCAGCTGAGCCATAATTAATAAACTTTTCTTTTGAACTTTTTAATTTCTCTCAATCTAGTAATTATCCCATTTTGCCTTTTGGTTTTTTTGGTTAATACTCATATTTTTCTCTGAAAGTAGTGTCTGTCAGTCCAGGTCTATCACTGTGTGTATGCATATAGATTCAAACATGTTTGTATGTTTAGAAGGGATTGGGTTTTATGGATTGACCTTCAAGTCACTTATAAGACATCTGAGATTATAGATTTAGATTCAGAGTGTCAGTTAATTTAGGGTTAACATGAGTTTATATAATTCTGGACTTCTTCATTTTTTTCATTGATTTAAAAAAACAGTTTATTCAGAGTGATCATAATTGTGTTAAATTATTTTTGGTGGTCAGCAAAATAATCCTAGGTTATTTAGATTGTTGCTCTGGGCTGCTGCCTTGGTGGTACACAGCAGTAGTAGTATATGAACTTCGTGGTGGCTCCCTTCCTTGGTAAAAACATACCAGTCTTGCTTAGGAGCCTTGTGATTCAGCTTTTAAAGTGAAGAAAGAAAAATTTCATATTTCTAAAGGTAAAAACTGTAGTTAAAACTGGCATTAATTTTGCATATTCTTTTTAGGAAATTAAACCCAATGTTTATTTCTAATAATTCTGTGTGTGAAAATAATTTAGGCTTCCAAACATGGAAGCAAGATTCTAATAATTTTTAATTTACAAAATATCAATAGGTAGCACATTTAAAATATTTGTTTTAGGATATATATTTTAAATATCTTTTAACTTCTGCCTCACTACTGGAAGAGGAAAATGAAAGTTCACAGAACATTACCCTGTACAAACAGCTAAACATACAATATGTCTGTTTTCCACAGATGGACGGAAACCATTTCCAATTAACCATGGGGAAACTAGTGATGAAACTTTACTAGAGGTAACAAATTTACCTGCCTCTAAGAAGTGTTATTAGCGTTCTTGTTATCTTTAAAACATCTCTAAAGATCTCGTGTCCATTTTTCTCTGTGTTTGAATGCTTCCTTGCTGCCTTGAGAAAACCCAAAAAGAAAAATTTGAATTTCTGATAAAAATCTACAGCCGATGAAGAGGTTTTCAGAGCTTTTTGTGTTAACAAGTGTCAAATTTGAGAAAGACTAGAGTATGAAAGAGTTGTATATCATATCCCATATTTCATTGAATCCAAGACACCATCATATGTATGTCGATCCTGATTTTAGAGATTTTAAAATTTATGGAAAAAATTGTATCTTAGAATTAATGAAATATGTAACTTTCAAATTAAAGTTTCTTTAGAGAAACTTTCTAAATAGTTTCTAAAGAACTATATTTTACACCTTTGTACTAAGCAACTGAGGCCACTAACCATTCACTTTGCTGGTATGTTTTATTTTTCTTCTGGAAAAAGAAGTATGTCATATAAAACTGGCATGAATTAGGAAAATATGAAACACTTATTTATCTCTTGTAAGTAGAACACACGTTTATAAACTGAAAAATATTATACATTTTTTTTCTATAGGATGCCATAGAAGTTTGCAAGAAGTTTATGGAACGTGACCCTGATGAACTGAGATTCAATGCAATTGCTCTTTCTGCAGCATAGCTTGTTCAATAGTGGAAACACCAAATACTGTATTATTTGCAACAAAAATGAAATTTGTGCTGCCATACACTAATTCAAAATTTTTGATATTTTCATTAACTTGACTGATTAAACTTTATGTACTTTGACTTAATCTGTGTTTTATATTATTTTTGCCACCAGTTAAAACCACAGTTCCTACCTTTCTTTCTTGTGAAGGATCTATCTACTTTGTTTGACAACTAGCAATAGCTTTCTTATTCTCTTTAAATTTCATGGGAGATTTTTATATTGGGACACAGGTGCAATTCCCACCTACATAGTATGAATATTTAGTATATCATATATGTTAACATATTTATTTAGCAAACGTTTGTTGAAAACCTACTTGTAATAAGCTAGAAGTATCTAGGTGCAGGTGTTACAGCAGTTAATACTACTGACCAGTTCATAGTCCTGGAGCTTATATGTTCTTAATAAGATACATACCAGTGATAGATGCTTTGCAGGAAATTAAAGTCAGATTTGTGTTCAATAGTGACTGAGTGGGTACTTTAGATTTTGTTATCAGAGAAGGCTACTATGAGCAGGTAGCTTTCAAATTGAGATCTCAGTGGCAAAAAGTAGCCAGTCAGAAATGGTAGTAATACAGAGGTATATGTGTGAATATGGTGTGTGTTTTGAAGAAGGAAGGGCTGCAGTTATATCTTACGGGATAGGAGGAAGGCAGTGGAAAATTGAAAGGGTATTTATAGAGCTGGGTCAACAGACAGGGTTGGTGTGATGGCAATGTCCTATATCTTTTTGGGAGAGTATTGGTTGAATGGTTCAGTTAAAATCCATACTTCATTGTATATACATATACCTAAAAAAAAAACTTGTAAAGAGCATAGCAGTCAGGAGAAATAACAGATTGATCTGGAATGAAGTTCTGGATCAATAATTGAGTGTAGATGTTTATACATGACTCACTGAGTTAACCTAAATTCCTGAGTCACTGGCATGTGGTAAGTGGTGTTTTAGGAAGAGTGATAGTGCAGTGGCTTGCAGAATGGACTGGATCTTTGTTATCAAAGTGTAATTGTATCATTACCTGAGAACTTGTTAGAAATGCTGAATTTCAGACCCCACCCTTGACCTAAATTAGAACCTGCATTTTCATCAAGATCCCTTGGTGAGTCATATGCTTTATTAAATTTGGAGAACACTGAACTAGAAAAAGTAGCCTATAATGAGGGTGAATAAATTATCTGAAACAATTCAATGAACTGTGTATATAGATGATGATCTTGCCATGCCAGTAACAACCAGTGTCCTTCTCCTTTGTTACGTTGTTTGTATTTTGTACTCACATCTATGCTTTATATTTCTTAAGAACTTTAAATATTCCTAAGCAGTTTGCTGATTGTTGCCTTGCTGCATTTCTCCTACTATATAATTTTTTAATAGATCCCTAATCAATGGTATATTACCAAAATTTTACATAGTTTCTCAAAGTTTGCTATGAGGAATACTAATTTTCCAGATTTAATGGGCAAGAAGGGTTTGCGGTCAAGTAGCTTTTGAAAACACTGGGTTAAAGTTAGTTTTAAAAAATTACAGTTATATTGGTTGGGAGGTAATTTCAGAACTCCTCAGATCTTTAAAAAAAATGTCATTCTATGTATAGCAGTTTCTGAATATTTTTGGAGCAAGATTTAGGACTAGTATTTTTTTACACATACATTAGTGTGATAGTCCCTTGTGGAAAATACAACTTGAAAATTTTCTCTTCTGCCTTCTTAAGTTTATGTCCAGAATTCGAGTCCTTCAACTTAATTTCCAACAACACTTTGTTTAGTCACTTTCTTAAAATTTAGCACTTGTAGAAGAAATTAATGATTAATTTTGTTTTGAAACTTATGGAGACACTAAGGAGATGAAGTTGTGGGTCATTTATATTGCTGTTAATGATCATAATATATCTAGGGGAAATGGAACTAGAAGAACTGAAACTAAATGTTTTTGCTTGATGGGCTTTTGGGGATTAACTAAACATCTTTCACTGAATATAATGGTTTGCTTCACATTATTGAAACGGGAGTGTTTATGAGCTCTATATATTTAACCACTAAGATTTTCTGTGTTCATTTGTGACTAAATCATTTGTGATCAGAACAGAAGTTCTCTTTTTTCTTAGGCAAGTCAAATTTCAATGTCTTAAATATAAACCATCTTTAATTCTGTATAAAAATTAATTGAACAAAGAAATCCAATTTAAATTTAGTTTCATTCTTCGATTTGTGTGCAGTGCTTATTAGGTAAGCTCTATAATTGAGTTGTGTATAATATACAACATGCTTATTTTATTAAATCAGAATAATATAGTTTAATAGAGAATTTTAGCCATTCATGTTTTCTAGAACAATAGCTTTCAAAAGAAGTATCTATATAGGCTTATGATTCCTATTTGGTGCTTGTAAGAAAATTGCAAAAGAGGCATATTTTCATAAAGTGTTAGACTTTTTAAACACTTCTATTTATAGAAATTTATTCCTTTTGGGAAAAGCTTACAAATATGTATATCTGTATATACATGCATTACCTGGGAACTAACAAGTATTTATGTATACATACATGTATATATACACACACAGGCACACACACATTCAACTTTGAATAGGCAAATAACTTGGGTCTGAATTCTCTGCATATTATTTAAATCCTTGACAGAAGTTAAAGTAAAGCCAATTTTAAAAGTGTGTATCCATTGTAAAAGGTTTTTAGAGCCTAATTTTTTTTATTAAGGTATCATTGATATACTTTTATGAAGGTTTCACATGAAAAACAATGTGGTTACTACATTCACCCATATTATCGATTCCCTCCCGATACCCCATTGCACTCACTGTCCATCAGTATAGTAAGATGCCACAGAGTCACTACTTGTCTTCTCTGTGCTACACTGTCTTCCCCATGATCCTCCCACCATGTGTACTAATCATAATATCCTCCAATCCCATTCTCCCTCCCCAACTGCCCTCCCCCACCTGTCCCCTTTGGTAACTGCTAGTTCGTTCTTGGAGTTTGTGAGTCTGCTGTTTAGACCCTAATTTTATAGGATTTGTAAACACACATACATCAAGTTTAATGGTTTATGGTTTTATCTTCTATTCTTTGGTAAGATCCTAAAATAAGGTTCCCGTGTTCTCAAAAAAAAACTACCACTAGAAACTAAATGTGGAATATACTAAGTTTTCAGATAGTAGAAAAAAAGTTTTGTCATTTCTTCTGCTTCTTTTGATTCAAAATTTGACCTCTTAAATGCATAAACTATGTGATTTAGAAGATTCAACATCAGAAGGGCATTTTTTTCCTTCATGCCAGTGGTGTCAGTTGATCAAAACAATCCACCATGCCTTATTTCCTGTATGTTCTTGCTTGTTTTTCTTTTGAATAAGTTATTCTAAATCTTTCTCTTGACTTCTTTGTTGAGGATGTGGTTCTGAACCCATCTGTTGCTTCTACCTACTTGATAGATTAGAGTCCCAAGTATGCCATTTTCAGAGCACATCTAGATATTATATGGGAGGTTATGGAGACAGTAAGGCACTTATGAGCATTACCTTACTGTCTAATTGATATGATGGTTGGCAATCCCTAGTTTAGAGGCAGAACTATATATAAAGCTATACTGAAAGCTATTTTGTGAAATGAATTATTTAAGATGCTTAGAAATATAAAGCCTTTCTAATCTACAAGATAGTTATAAGTATAAATTGAATTATTTAAAATAAAAATCCATGTGATCAAGAATAAATCCCAAATGATATGAATGACATGTTTTAATTCAAAATGTTCCCTTTATGAACATGTAAATGTAGTTGATATTTAAATAACAGTTACATTCAATAGTGTATCCTTTAAGAGCTAAAAGATAAGATCTCTGTGCCCTGCACACATTCTGTGAGGACAACATAAAAACAAATTGCTTAAGGCTTTATTTTATCCTAAACACAGGGGACTTGGAAGCACACGCAAAGGTTGTAAATCAGACTATTTTTTAAAAAATGTTGTAAAACCTGTCTACTGAAAAGTTGCATTGCCTACTGAGTTTAACTACATGTGGTAGAAGATGTTAAAGACTGCATTTGAATTTTGCTTTAGGGGTAAGCAGTAAAAAAACTTTTCTTTATTCTGACCTGAATGCTAAGTATTTGAAGCCAGAAGTTCTTCCTGCCCTCTACCACCACTATAGGGGTATATACATTTGAAAATGTACACAGTTAATAGAAGTGTTATATGTTCATATTTTTTGCCATTGCGGCCTAACCATGATGTTTCATGGTCTGGGTATAATTTAAAAGATGCTTTCTTCTGAGAAATTTATTTTATGAACAAAATACTTAAGTATATCTTCATTTTAATATAATAAAAATAATTGCTCTTCCAGCCATATTCTGGTATGGCTTAATAAACAGGTGCATACAGAATATTCAACATAAGAGCCCAACAGGACTAATTTTATTTTAAGAACTTTAGAAAATATGGCTTGTGGGCACAAAACGCAGAGAAAATATAAAGCCAACTGTTCACTTTGCTGTGTTAGTTTTTGCCTTTCTCTTCCATTTTCAGAAGACAAGAATATGTACCTCAGATGCTTAAGTATTCCAGTGAAGGCTTTTAGTTTTTCAGGGCTAGTAGCCATCTATTGTTTCCTTACTGTACATGGAATCCCTAGCTAAATTAATAAAACAGAACATGCTTATGCCAATTATTCATAGCCTTCTGATATTAATTTTATAGTTGATAGGTATGTAGGTATTAGAGATTTGTTGAGCTACTACTACCTTGGTTTTAAAATGGGATACAATTGTATAGCATAGGGAGTACGGTCAACAATATTGTAATATCTTTGTGTGACAGATTATAACCACACTTAATTGTGGTGAACATTATAATGTATGTAATTGTCAAATGTTGTATAGCTGAAACCAATATATTGTTTATCACCTATACAATAAAAAATTAAAAATAAAGTGGAATCTAGTTCTCAAGCTTTTCAGTGTCAGGAGAGCCTTAAACATTCTTAACAATTATGAAGACCCAGAAAGCTTTTATATGGATTATATCTGAACCTATAAATATTAGAGATTAGAACAC